CCATAACAATGATCATTTGCATCCCTCGGGATTGGTTAATAACTATCAATAAAAAAGGAAACGAACATCAATCAATTTTGACAAGTTCATACGGAAATTTAGACTCGTTTGTAAATATGGGTTATTGACCAAGCGTGGAATCAAGATGGCTGGCCTCGTTCTTTTTTTACTTGCTTATGGACCTCGGCTCCATCTCTCGGTCCATAAACACGCAAAAAAAAAAAAAGAACAAGGCCAATATCCAGCCATCTTGATCCCACGCTTGGTCAATAAAGGATTTATTATATAGAAAAGGAACTATTTTCTTCCGGGACACGACGGGTAATCCCGAGCTAGCAAGATAGCGCCCTCTTTCCCCCACGGGTAGCCAATCACAGCGCAGGATTCAGTTCGTCTTGCCCGCTCACGGAGCTAGCCATACAATAAACGTAATCTTCACAACTGCAGAAAATCCATAACTTTCGAAGATATGGAAAAGCAAAATCGGGTGGAAAAATCTCTATATAAAGACAAACGAACAAACAGAATGTTCAAATACTAGTTAATCCGATTGTCTCAAATAAAGTTTCAAACAGTAGCAAATATTTCAAGTAAAATCAATGTCAAATATACCCTCTGTGAATTCCTCTAGTTCTGCAAGAGAAAATAAGTTTGAGATATCAATGATATGATCAGAGTGACGAAAACAAGGTGAAAAATTTCTAGCAATATTTCAAATTGAATAATTAAAAAATATGAATTTTAAAAATGAATTTTACGCGATCAGCGTTGAACATGTGAAAAATAATGTTGAAAACTGATTTAAAAGAATAAAATTGTACTTGTAAAAACTTTATTCAAGGCTGAATTTGAGGCAACCTTCTGTTGCCTTGGTCAGAGTTTGAAAATAAAAAAAATAAAAAAAAAGACGCAAAGAACTAACTTTTCAAACTCTGTTGAAGGCACTAGGAGGTTTCCAAAAATTTAGTTTTTATAAGTTCAGTTCAATTCAGTTTCAAAATAGTTTTTGAGATAATTGCCAATCTTTGCCTTTTCATTAGTGCTGGAAATGAAAAGGCGACAAAATTGATATGAAACAACAGGCTAAAACAATTTTAAAATAACATTAATGATGGACTTACCT